AATATCCCCCCAGAGTAAAAGGATGGAAAAGAATATTCCAAACAAACAGACCTATGAAGCAAGCTGGTGTAGCCATTTTAATATCTGAGAAAATAGGCTTCAAGCCAAAGCTAATCAGAAGAGATAGGGAAGGACACTACATATTCATCAAAGGAGAAGTCCACTGAGAGGGCACTGCAGTTCTTAACATCTATGCACCAAACACATGGCACCCAAGCTCATAAAAAAAAACAAAAACTACTACAGTTTAAATCACATACTGACCCTCACACTCTGATAGTGGGACGCTTCAGTACCCCACTCTTACCAAAAGACTGGTCATCCAGACAAAAGCTAACAGAGAAATGCTGGAGCTAACTGATGTTAAAAAAACAAATGGAGCAAACATATTTACAGACTATTTCACCCAAACACAAAACAATATACCTTGTTCCCTGTACCTCATGGAACTTTCTCCAAAACTGAACATATACTCAGACACAAAGCAACTCTAAAAGATACAAGGAAGTTGAAATAACACCCTACATCTTATCTGACCACCACAGATTAAAGCTGTATACCAATATCAGAAAGTTTACAAACTCATGGAAACTGAACCACTCACTACTAAATGAAAAATAGATCAAGAAAGAAGTGAAAGACTTTCTAGAATTGAATGAAAATGAATACACACCATACCCAAACATATGGGACACAAAGAAGGAGGTTCTAAGAGGCAGGTTCATAGCACTAAGCGCCTACATAAAAAAGCTGGACACATCTCATACCAGTAATTTAATTGCACACATGAAAACTCTAGAACAAAAAGAAGAAATCACACCCAGAAAGAGTAGATGGCAAGAAATAATCAAACTTGGGGCTGAAATTAATAAAATAGAAACAAGCAAACAACAGCACAACAATACAAAGAATCAACAAAACAAGCTGGTTCTTTAAGAAAAAGCAATAAGATTGGCAAACACTTATCCAAATTAACTAATAGGCAGAGAGAGAATATCCAAATTAGCAAAATTAGAAATGAAGGGGGGACACCAAAGAAATTAAGAAAATCCTAAGGATAGACTTTAAAAACCTACATTCCATCAAATTAGAAGATCTAAAAGAAATGGATAATTTTCTTGATATACACCACTTAACAAAGTTAAATCAAAATCAGATAAGCAGTTTAAACTAGCCTATAACCCCTAATGAAATAGAAGCAATAATTAAAAGTCTCTCAACTATCAAAAGCCCAGGGCCAGATGGTTTTAGCATAGAACTATACAGGACTTTTAAAGAGGAGTTGATGCCAGTACTCTTCAAATCATTCCACAAAATGAAAACAGAAGGAACATTGTCCAATTCATTTTATGAGGCCACAGTTACCCTGACACCCAAACCACCTAAAGACCCAACAAAGAGAGAGAATTACAGACCAATTTCCCTTGTGAACATAAATGCGAAAATTCTCAATAAAGTACTTGCAAACAGAACCCAAGAACACATAAGGAAAAGATCATCTGCCATGATCAAGCAGGATACATCCCAGAGATGTATGGGTGGTTGAACATACCCATCAATAAATGTAATCCACCATATAAAAAAACCTGAAAGACAAAAACCACATGATCATTTTATTAGATGCCTAAAAGGCCTTTGACAAAATCCAACACCCCTTCATGATAAAAGAAGAGATTAGGGATACAAGGAACATACCTCAACATAATAAAGGTAGTTTACTGAAAGCCCATAAGCAACATCAACTTAAATGGAGAGAAACTCAAAGCAATTCCACTAAAATCAGGAACAAGACAAGGTTGTCCACTCTTTTCATATCTATTCAATATTGTCCTTGATATCTTAGCTAGATCAAGAAGACAACTAAAGGAGATCAAGGGATACAAACTGGAAAGGAAGAAGTCAAAGTATCTTTATTTGTAGATGATATGATAATATGCATAAGGGACCCTAAGCGTTCCCCCAGGAAACTCCTACAGCCAATAAATAATTTTAGCAAAGTAGCTGAATACAAAATTAACTCATACAAATCAGTAGCCCTCCTATAGACAAATGACAAATGGACTGAGAAAGAAATCTTGGAAATAAAATCTTTCACAATAGCCTCAAATAATATCAAATATCTTGGGGTACTTCTATCAAGCAAGTAAAGAGCTCTATGATTAAAAACTTTAAGACATCAGCCGGGCGGTGGTGGCGCACGCCTTTAATCCCAGCACTCGGGAGGCAGAGCCAGGCGGATCTCTGTGAGTTCGAGGCCAGCCTGGACTACCAAGTGAGTTCCAGGAAAGGCGCAAAGCTACACAGAGAAACCCTGTCTCGAAAAAACCAAAAAAAAAAACAAAAAAAAACAAAACACTTTAAGACATCAAAAGAAAGGCAAGAAAGAAGGAAGGAAGGAAGGAAGGAAGGAAGGAAGGAAGGAAGGAAGGAATTGAAGAAGATTTCAGAAGATGGAGAGATCTCCCATGCTCATGGATCAGTAAGATTAATAAAGTAAAAATGGTCACCCCACCAAAAGCAATCTACAGATTCAGTGCAATCTCTTTCAACAATCAAACATAATTCTTCACAGATTTTGAAAGGACAGTTTTCAGCTTCATATGGAAACATAACAAACCCAGTATCACCAAAACAGTCTTGAATAATAAAAGAACTGCTGGAGGTATCACCATCCCTGTTTTCAAGTTGTACATAAGAGCTATAGTAATAAAAACAGCATAGTATGGGAACAGAAACAGAGATGTTGATCAATGAAATAAAATTGAAGACCCAGACATAAATCCACACACCTATGTACACCTGAGCTTTGATTGAAAGAAAAAAGCCAGAAATACACACTGGAAAAAAAGGCCCTTCAACAAATAGTGCTGGTCAAACTGGATGCCTGCATGTAGAAGAATCCAAATAGATCCATACTTATCACACTGCACAAAATTCAATTCCAACTGGATCAAAGACCCCAACATAAAACTAGAAACACTGAGCCTGACAGAAGAGACAGTATGGGCATAGCCTTGAATTCATTGGCACAGAAGACTTTCTGAACAGAACACCATTAGCACAGGAACTATGATCAATAATTAATAAATGGAACCTCATGAAACTGAGAAGCTTCTGCACAGCAAGCAACACTGCCATTCAGACAAAGTGGCAGCCTACAGAGTGGGGAAAGATTTTTACAAACTACACATCTGATACAGGGCTAATATCCAAAATATATAAAGAACTCAAATAATTAGATATCAAGAAAACAAATAACCCAATTGAAAAATGGGGTATATATCTAAACAGAATTCTCAAAGGAGGAAACTCAAATGACTGTGGAACACTCAAAGAAATGTTCAACATCATCCTTAGTTGTCAGAGAAATACAAATCAAAACTACTTTGAGATTTCATCTTACACCCATCAGAATGGCTAAGATCAATAAAACAAGTGATGGCTCGTGGATGTGTATGTAGTAAGGGGAACACTCATCCATTGATGGCAGGAGTGCAAACTTGTACAGCCACTGCAGTATAGAAACCAGTGTGGCAGTGCTTTAGGAAGATGGGAATCCATCTACCTCAAGATCCAGCTCTACCACTCTTGGGCAGATACCCAAAGGTCACTTCATTCTACCACAGAGACACTTGCTCAACCATGTTCATTGCTGCTCTATTCATACTAGCTAAAAATTGGAAAGAACTTAGATGTCCCTCCATAGAAGAATAGATAAAGAAAATATGGTACATTTACACAGTGGTACATTTATTCAGCCATTAAAAAAATAAAATCCAAAGGTAAATGGAAGGGACTAGAAAAAAAAAAAACATCCTAAGTGACATATCACAAACCCAGTGGATTAGCTCTTAAGTCAATAATAACCAAGCTATAATCCATAGAACCACAGAGGTTTGGTATAGAGTTAGTAATGGGCGGGGGGCGGGCACAGATAGATGTCATTAGGAAAGGGAAATAGAGTACAGTTATGGATGGATGGGGGATGGAATGGGAAGATCAAATGGTGAGGGGAGATGGGGAAAATGAGGGAGGGAATATGGGGAAAGACAGCTAAAATTAAGGGCCATTTGAGGGGTGGTATGGAAACCTAATATGGTAGAAGCTTACTAAAATATATACATAGATGAAGGCAACCTAAATGAAATCACCAAACAATGGCTATCTCTTGTCACTGATGAAGCTATCAATTTTGGAATTAAGTTACATCTAGTTGAGTTGTTGGACAAAGGGGTCCCATAGCAATTCCCAAACGACCCAGGATATTGCCAAGTCTATAGGTTGCTCTCCACAAACTGACACCAAGGCCCCATTGCTAAAGCCAATACCTACCCAACTCACTGAACATGGAGAAGTTGAGAGTGAGAGACCGTGGAGCACTCAGCCCTAAACAGGAGGTCTCCATCAAATCCCTCACCTCAGGGGTCAGGGAACCCTGCAGAAGAGGAGGCAGAAAGAGTGTAAGAGCCAGAAGTAATGGAGAAGACAAGGCCCTCTAAATCAACATGATCAAAGCTCATATGAACTCACAGAGGCTGGAGCAGCCTGCACAGGACCTGCAAGGGTCTGCACCAGGACCTTTACACATCCGTTACGGTGGTTCCCAGTTTAGTATTTGTATGGGATTCCTGAGTGTGCGAACAAGTGGGTCTCTGTTTCTCATGCCTTCTCTTGGGATCTTTTTCTTGTGTTTATTTGTTTTGTCCAATTCTGATACATTAGTTTTTGTTTTATCCTACTATATTGTGTTTATTTTATTTAAAATAAATAAATAATAATAATAATAAAAATCTCTTGGAAACACCTCGCTCTAGCAGCCACTCTGTTGAGGTTGTAGGTCCTTCATGGATCTCATGGGACGGGAACCCATCTCTCGGCTGGACGAACAGTTGATGCTTCACCTCAGACTATTAAGTTAAAGAAGGTTGGAGAAGGAAGACATCACAGGACAAGCCAGAAGTTTTCTGAACAACAGAAACAGCACTGACGAGAACCACACATTGCCAAACACTGATTGAGAATGATTTATTAAGGTCCAATTAGTATGCATTTCAATTCAAATAGTCCTTATCACCCCCATAAAAATGGCATTAATAAACGTCCAAATTCATTTCACTCATTTCCAGAATAAAACTTCTGCATTTTGTGTAAACTCTGAGCAAAATCTTTCTCCTGCTAACTGGCTCTCCACCTACTTTTTTTTGTTCACCAGACACATTTCATGGGCCTTCCCTCTGTGCGGATAAGGGCCACACTTCACCTTCCCCCTCCCTAGAATGCCACTCTCTTCAGGACTTCTTTCTCTCAGACATCCTCCTGACCTTCCCACACCTGCTTCAGGGCTGTGTTTCTTCCTCGTTGCTCCTTTTAGCACACCAATAGGGCCACCAGCCACCCGGACAATGTACCAGGCATCTCTGAACATGAGCATCTATTGGGCAATTGCTGGAGACACACACACACAGCAGCCAGTTGCTAACAGACCCCACCCAGGCTACTTAGTACAGCAATGCTGGACTCACTTCTGTGATTTCATTGTGTTTTCTTCAATTCGACGTGACAGCCGTGGCTGCCAAGAATGGGATCACCATTCCCTCAAAACACAAAAGGGAAATCGCTAGCTACATTAGGTCATCTTGGTTATTGGGAAGCATCTTGTTAAGAAGTCATTCTCAACTAGAGTAACCACTGTGTTTCTTCTGTAAAAAGGTAACTTTGGGGACATTTACACTGCCACCCCTGCAGTTTGAAAGTAGAATGTCCCTTTTTATAAAGTGAAAACACATGAGGACATTTCACATTTTAAAAAGTAGGTCCTTCATGGGAATAGGTCCTAAGTAAATAATCAACGATACTGGCAAAGTTTTATGTACACAAGATTCTTCCAATATTATAATAATGAAAATTTAAAAAAAATCTAGTCAACAATACAGGAATGGTTAAATAAACTGAGCTGTATCCATTAAATGGAATATTATATAGCTGCTAACACTGTTTTTGTAAAAAAAAAACATAATAATAATAATAATGCCATAGGAAAACCTAGCAATTCTGAAAGAAAAAGTTACAAAAAAATTTACAATATCATTCCAATTATGTAAAAAAGTATATAATATATGTCTGTAAGCACACATGCATGAGCTGGTAAAGATGGTTACCTCTGGGTTGTTATATCAGTAATCTTTCTTTTCTTATTCTTTCTTACACAGTTCTGCAATTTTCAAGTTTTCTATATTAAGTATGTATAATTTTATAACTTGGAAAACCACAGGCTTTTAAAAAAATCCGCTAATGTCCTGGCAATAAGAATGCACTTGGGTGTCTTAACTATGTGGGGACAGTACTACCACGCTTCATCTTCTCTCAGGTGATAAGCTCACACTCCCCGCCTTTCATGCCTGTTCCAATACCTTAAAAGGTAAAGTGGTGAGGATATTGTTTCTTCCATAGCCCAAATGAATACTGATTTTTACTAGATTCTTCTATCCCCTAGAAGAGTTAAAATATTATCCTTTCATCTTTAAAGAAAAACATACTGTATACACACACCACATGCTTGCTTTCTAAACAAACACACACACACAAAAAAAAGAACATTCTAATTTACAGTTTTCCTCCATAGTGGAAAAAAATTCTCCTATGTCAATTTAACAGTCTTTTCAACCAGAAACATGCTGACAGGAATAAACATACTTATTAAGTGAAATGTATCCTCCAGAGCATTTTGTTTTGTATTTTAAAGGGGAAGCCTGTATGAAGTCGTGCGCTCAATTTGGCAGATTTCTCTTCTGGCTTAGGCCAAACCACACAAAACCTTTTAAGTCTAGTTAGTGACAGCTACACGGTCACCCCAGAGTCTGTTTCTGAATTCCACTGCCAGATATACACTTTCTATTTTCCAAAGAAGAAGAAGAAGAAGAAGAAGAAGAAGAAGAAGAAGGAGAAGGAGAAGGAGAAGGAGAAGGAGAAGGAGAAGGAGAAGGAGAAGGAGAAGGAGAAAGAAGAAGAAGAAGAAGAAGAAGAAGAAGAAGAAGAAGAAGAAGAAGAAGAAGAAGAAGAAGAAGAAGAAGAAGAAGAAGAAGAAGGGGGCTGCCACATAGGTTCATCCCCAGGCTATGTCAAGTCTCTTGGGTCTAGGGACAAATACTGCCATTGGTTAGTGTTTAAGTACAGGAGTAGCTTCCTCTCCTCTGGCTCCCCACCTTGCCCTGGCAACAGGGGGTGGGGGTTCACAGCTTCACAGAGGCTGGCTGGCTTCCTTCTAAACCACAGAGTGGTCATTGCTGTGAGCTCCAGCCAGAATGGTGTGGTTGAGGGAGGAGGCTGAGCGGTCAGAGCCTTCTGTGGGGCCATTGGCATTCTCGCTGCGCTGGCAGCACAGGATCTGCCTGAAGGTGGCGCTCATCTCTTTGTCACGGTAGGAGTAGATGATGGGGTTCATGGCGGAGTTGAACTCAGCGAGGAGGAGGAAGAACTTCTCATAGGCCAGGACGTTGCACTGTGGGCAACAGACATCCAGCAGTAACAAGACCAGTCCCGGGGTCCAGCAGACAATAAAGGCACCTACGGCGACAGGGAGGGATCAAGGATTAGAAGGAGAATAATGAATATCATTAGGAAATGTGTAACCAAAAAGTGACACGATCTCAGGTCTGTGTGCAAATCCTGAGACCAGAGCCACCAATCATGGAGACAAATGAAATGTTTGCTTCAGAAATAGAAGAAATAGTCACCTTAATAATATGCGGTTGATTCAAGTCCTAGCTAAACCTGAGGATGTATGACATATGAATACTTTTGAACAGACCACAGAGTTTGATGAATAGCTGTTCCATGAGAAAATGCATTAGGAATATACACTACTACATAAGTTCTTAAAAACTAAAATCTCATACAGGCATGGTTGCGGGGGGCGGGGGGGGGGGGGGAGCGCAGGCAAAAGACAGACATTAATGACCCAAGCCTCCAGGTTTATGGAAGATGCAGTTTCTATTTTCTGTTCACCAGCGCACAAACCATTGCTGTGCCTTTTAGGGAACTAGGTGTTTAAGCAAATTGAATTTTTGTCTCATTTTTCTCATCTGAAAAACATACGTGGTCTATTTACCTCTTGGGGTTGGCTATAAATTGTAAAGGAATGCTAAGAAAATAATCACCCAGTGTACATTAACAACCCCAACAACAACAATGTTGTTATTCCAAGATCTGTGGCATGTAAACAGCAGCTTCCAGTGATGAATGTTTTCATTTTCAACCCAGCAATCAAAGTTCTGGCATACACTTTACAAATGATAACTCACCTAAGCTGCACATATAGCACGCAAACTAAAACCCCACTGTACAAACAGAGAAACTGAGACCCAGAAGGTTTAAGTACCTCACTTAAAAGATCACTGCACTGGAAAGGGGTAAACGAGAGGCAAACCCCAGATTTTCTACTCTTGCCACCTGGCTCTGGCATCTACATTCCTGAAAGTACTACATTATCCTTCCACTTTTTGCAACTTATAAAGTTAAATATTTGTGACCGAATTTTATGTCTCAGCTGTTTTCTAACTTAGATCAACTCTCTGCTTTCTCCCCCGCAACTACTCTGCATTATTAAGATTTTTCTAGAATCACAAGTGGTTTGGAAATTCAGATGGTAAAAGATATCCCATCTTACTTAGTTTCTGAGATCACTTTCCGTTTGGAGCTAAGGGAACGCGTAAGTCATGAGATGATTAATTAGCCTTGATGACTATATTATCTTAGCATGTGCTGGAGGGTCTTCTACTGAAGGAATGGTAGCCGGGGGGCAGTGTGTGCCATTACACGTCAGCTAAGAGGCTCCATGCTGGATAAACAGCTATCTAGTGGACAGAGGGTGAGTCGGGAGAAGCCTCACACGCATTTGGATCTTTATATCCACACAGATACACAGGGTGGTGCTGGCCTCAGCGGCTGTAAACTTAGACTATAGTACTCAGCTTGGATCAGTCTCAAGGACTGGTTTTCATAAAAAGTAAACAAATGCAACTTAGTCTCCAAACAGGCAGCTTTGAATAGGAGCTTTCCTTCCTTTCCTTTCCTTCCTTCCTTTCCTTTCCTTTCTTCCTTCCTTCCTTCTTCCCTTCCTCCCTCCCTCCTCTCCCTCTCTCTCTCTCTCTCTCTCTCTCTCTCTCTCTCTCAACCTATTCAGCAGGGAAATACAAATAAAGCAAGAAGAAAAGTCCTCCATAAAGCTCTTTGTTCTGTAACACTACTGTGTATTGGTTTGAAACTGCTGTTCACTTTGAAGACCATCCAAGGTGCTTCATTTTTCTTATAAATTCAATACTCTCGACTCTCCTCAGAGAGTGAAAACAATATTCCAAATATCAGCAGATAATAGCCAGACCACTATCTGAACCTTAATAAAAGTGTTAACAGAGCCTTCATTCCAAGCCCTTGAATTTCCTTTATTGAAAATCACTCAGAAAGCTAAACATGAAGGGAAATCAAAGGAATGCCTCTTGGGTTTCAGAAATAATGCCTTATTCATTGAGAAGCCAGGAAAGAAATTATTCTCAGGGTGGAAAATGCTTGGATGGAAAATCCACGGTCCCTTTATTCATCTACTTGGAACACACACACACACACACACACACACACACACACACACACACACACACACACACACACACATACACACACACTCGTGAATGGGAAAACAATCCTAAAAGTTCCTTTTCCCTTTTCCTTTATCAAAGCTCTAATTGAGCTTACCTGGCTCCAAGCACAGGCAGATACATTTTAAATAAAACAACCTCTTTTCCCTGTTGGCAACACAAGGGGAAAGCCCTTATTCTCCCACAGTCGCTCAGTCTGCTTGACTTTGACCAGAAGAGGCTTCGAACACAGTCACAGGTTGCTTATGATTCCTCCCAATGCTCAAATGCAAGAAGAGCAGTCTGTTTAGGAAGGGGATGGCTCTAGAAATGAGACTTTGGACTTAACTTTTAGACAAAAAAAAAAGGGGCCAGGCAGTGATGGCACACGCCTTTAATCCCAGCACTTGGCAGGCAGAGGCAGGCAAATCTCTGTGAGTTGGAGGCCAGCCTGGTCTCCTGGACAGCCAAGGCTGCACAGAGAGAGACCCTGTCTTGAAAACAATCCAAAAACAAAACAAAACAAAAAAAAAGCACCCTGTTAGATTTGGCCACAGGAAGTGGGAAATGCCACAGCCTGCCAGCTATGTGAAGACTTCGTGAGGAAACTCCGAGTCCTCTTCACTCTTCACAGGAAGGAACTGGTTTTAGAACTGTGATTAGGCCTGACCACACTGTCTCAGAGTCTTCAAGACTCAATCAAGTGTCTTCATGATACACAGTCGACAGCCTCAGAAATCCACACTGAAAACCTCTCCCATCCTCCCTCCCTTCTCTTTCTCAGGGTGTCTTGAATCAAACTGACCCAAAGACAACAGTGGATTATAGGAGGGGAACAGGGGGCCTGGAAAAGTCCAAGGTGATTGAGCTCCTAAGTCATAGTGAATGGTACTTTGAAATCAAATTTGCTCAAGTGACAGATCTCCCTCTGCGCTTCTAAGAACGAAAGCCTCATCCATTTTTACTTTCTTTTTTTAAAATAAGAAGACAAGTCTAACTGAATTGGGTCATCCAGCTCCATATGTGCACGATGGACCACATCCAGTCTGCAGAGAGCTGGATATGCACACACATGCACATGTGCAGAGACATGTGGATGAGTTGAACAGAACCGCCATGTCGTTATCTGTAAAGCAAAGAAGCAGCAGCTCTCTTCCTACCCCACAGGGCACGAGGAGCAATGGGCAAATGTTCCTTCCACTGTCCGCCTCCCAGTGTTTGAGTGTCGCAGATGAGGAACCTTGTGCATACAGCTCAGGGGTAGATCCTTGGCATAGAAGAACACGAAAGCATGATTTGAGCCATGAAGAGCTGGAGTTTACAGAGTTACACACATGGCCAGACAGTCCCAGGACTCACAGTTAGGCATGGAAGGAAACCGAGAAGGAAGAGAGAGAGGGAGCAGAAGGGACCTACTCAGCCTCAGGTGGCTCTGCAGCTTCTCAGCTCCACACTTCACCAGATGGGAAATAAAAATAATATAGAATTCCCGTGGCAAGGCTGCTTTTGGTGTTCTCTTTATTTGGCATATTTCTGATGGCAGATTCTCTACAGACCAAGGCACACAACCAAAGAATGGTATTCAACAGTATGAAAGAGAGGAAGTAAAATAGTTTGTGGTTACATATTGTAAAGCCAGAAGTGGCAGAAGATAAGGTGTCCAAGGCCAGGAAAACCGTGTGTATCTGGCTAAGACATTCATTTTCCAGCTTAGCACTGGTTCTCAGCCTGAGAGGCATATAATAATAATGCAGATAAGGACCTGTAAGGAATAATGACCTTCATTTTAATCTCACTGGCCTCAACTGTCAGATTTTCATTTCAAATACAGATTAGTGACATTGGAAGAAGAACATGACCAAGATAAGTAGAATGTGTGTGCACACACACGCACATGTGCATATATATGTATGTATATACTTCGTTATTTCTAGTTTCTAAAATAGGAGTAAGTAGAGCCCAAATCAGGGCAGCAACACCGGGAAAGCAGTGTAGACTAGGAAAGCATTTGTGAGGCTGTCCTCCACTTGATGGTGAGGAAGATGGGGAGTCTGGGATGCCTTCTGGGTTTTCAACTTGAATGAGGCATGAATAGTACCTTTTGTGGAGAGAGGAAACGAGAGAAAGTACTAGGTCCGCGTTCTGTTGGTGGAAGTGGGGAGCAACAGTTGACAGTCTCAGTAGTCTTGTGTGGTGTGTTTTGTCTGAGGCGCCTGAAGGATATCAGATGGGGATGCCTTCAAGTCACCCTGCTAAGCTCCTGGAAGACTGAGTCTGGGGAGCCTTGACTCAGTGTGCAGAAAGATCCCCCTGACTTGTCTGGGTCACAAGGAAGATGGGGGTGGGAGGCTATTCAAAAAAAAATGTCTGAGGATTGCCTTTCCCTGGACAAGCTGCAATTCTTACACATCTGTCAAAGCAATCTTGAAGGGCCCGGTGCCCATATAAATGGAAAGAGAGGTGCTGGAATGTTGGTACAAGAGGCAGGGAGGGAGGGGCAGCTTTGGAACAACAGGTCACAGCTGCAGACCACAGTCCTATAACCACACCATCCCTCCGACTGCACAACCCACCAGACCCACCCGAGGCACGATGCTCACCACCTGCTCTCCCAATCAGCTGCTTCTCTGCAATTCCTCTTTCCTAACCAGTTGATTTTTGATTCTTTGCTTTCACATGGAACACAAAAACCAAAGCTAAAGAAAAATCAGGCAGCAGGGGCCAGAGAAGACCCCTAGAAAAAGAGCCCAAGATTTTGGATGAGCAAAGCAGAAAGCATTTTCAGTCTGGGCTGGCAAAATTGTGTTTTCATAAAAAACTCAGAAATTCCACAGATCTGGACGAGTCAAGGTAAATCAATTCTACAGCAGCCCCGCACCCAAGTTAACCTCTCCATGGCTTTATTCTTTTCATTTCTCTAACGGGGACTTCAAA